TTTTTTTTTTTTTGCCAGAAATATCATGACCTTCATACACCGGAATGGACAAGCAATAATACTGTGATGGATACAATGAAATATCTCAGTTGGATTGGACTATGTGCTCGAGTTGGCATTGAACCGTGTAAGGATGAAAGATTGAACAAACTTTCTGGTGAACATTTATCATTCATTCATTTCACTTCATTGTTTCTTTTTTTCTGCTCTTTTTAATCCTTCTAAGCTGTTTAATTTAAAATAATTCCAATTGCTTTTAAACAGATCAAACAATACTGTTCACTAGAAAACTGTGAATTTCTTTAATTTTTTTTAATATACAAATAATAACTCCAGAAAAAAATTTTTTTGTCTTAAATAAATAATGTAAAAAAAAAGAAAGAAAAGTTTTTTTCAGGTGGTGCCATTTTGAATGGTTTAATAAAAAAATTAAAAACTGCTGTTGACTGTGATCGTTATAAACAGAATAACACAAATCCAGACTGTGATATCTATTTTTCTGGACTATCTGCGGTATGTTAAAATATGTTTAATAACTGTTGTTACAGTTACATTCCAAACAACTGTTTTTCAGTTTTTTTTCTCCTTAATATCTGATACCTGAATACAGAAAAAAAAATAGATATTAGTAAACAAATATTTGTCAATAGTTCAAAACTTTTTTCTTCTAATAAGTTTATTGTAATTTTTTTAGCACGATATTACACTTGCTGCACTGTTTTCAACATTTCCAAACTACAAAAAGATTCTTGGCAACGTACCGTACATCAAATATGTTGCACATGCTGCATTTGAGGTTTGGAAACATCCGGACAACATCTATGAAATTAAAGCAAGTTTTTCTTCTTTTTTTTTAGCCTCTTTTCTTTGTAAAATCACTGACTGTTTTTGCGTTTATGTTTTTTTTGATAAGAAAATAGACTTTTTTTTGTCAACGGTTCTTTTTTGGTTATTTATAGTTGATAACAAAAAAAAACCCATATTTTTTTGTCTTGTTGATACAACAGATAAATATGAAACAGAAAAAAGAAAAAAAAGCTGTAAATTATAATCAAACTTTATCATAGGTTTTTTTTTTGTTAGGCTTTTTATGCAAATTCATTTCGTGATGAGCTGAAAGAGATAACACAGTATTTGCCCGGTTGTGAACATTATACCACACTGTGTCCATTAGACAACTTTGTTCGGGCAACTAAAGGGATGTCCTATGATGATGTGCAAAAGGAATGCACTATTGGAATACAAAAAAGTAATTTGCTATTCTTTTATACCATCTTATTGTATGTTTTTTTTTTCTGTTGTTTGTTTGCCAAAAAAGAAAAGAACCTTTTTTTTGTCGTTTACAACAAATTATAGTAAAGCAGTTTTTTAACAAGGAAATACAAGGAAATGTTTGAGCTTTTCATGACATATTGATCAGTTTTGTTGCTAAATCTGATGCAAATAATAACCTAATCTAAAATTTCAGATCGTTCAAAGAGAGCTGCATATTTTGCTGGCAATTTAGCTGACTATATGCTTGAGTAAAATCTGTTGATGTTGCAAAATGCAACAACTTATTAACTTAAGCCAAAGAGCCAAATTTTGACGGGTTTTATAGGTATACAATTGAATATTCACTTTAAGCAAATACATATGTTCACTGGTTTTTGTTCTTCACTTAATTATTAACTTCTGATATTTCAACTCGTTTTTGATAATTCTCTTGAGCATTCTTTCATTAGAGACTACGTTGTTAGAGAGATTGTTTTAGTGTTATTTTGTTATTCCATTTTATACTTCTTCTTCTTCTTCTTCTTCTTCCACTGAATTTTAATCAGGAAACTATGCGATTAAATCGTTTTCTTTCCCACTTTTTTTTTTTTTTTCAGCTCTTAGTATAAATATTTCAGTCAAATCAACATAATTGTTTGTTATATGTATATTATGTAAATAGTGAT